TCCTTGGAGGTGGACTGGTTGAGTACCGGCCTTCTCCGCAGAAGGAGAGTGCCCAATGCTGAGAACTTGATTTTAATGGCAGACACTGAAATGATTAAGGGTGGTTGGGGCCATTACCTGCAGGTGAAATGGTGGAGGACTTGATTTGGATACCGGACTGGGATGGGGTGAGGTTTTTTTTTTTCTGGGCTTGATGTTGGGGGGGGGGGTCTGATGCCCGGGGTTACCTCGGCGAACCCAAAAAAAATGTGTTTTTTTTTATTTTTGTGGTTTTGTGTGTGCTTACAGGGGACCTGAAATCCGGGATCATTTCTTTTTTGCGAGTTGGCAGTCAAGAGGGGTGGGGGCGGGGTATTATGTAGAAATTGGTTTTAGAGGGGCTAGAGGGGTGAAAAAGGGGGTGCCTTTGTGTCATTCTGTTATTTTCTTTTTTATCTGTTTTGGGGGCGGGGTAGGTATAAATTGGTTATAGAGGGGCTGAAGGGGTTAGAAGGGGGGTGCCTTCGTGTGATTGTGTTATTTTCTTTTTTATATCTGCCTCAGCCAGAAGTCGTTTGTATTTTAATTTTTGTATTTTAATTCTATGAAGCATTTTTTCTTTCTGGATTTTTTTTTTTTTTTTGGTGCCGGGGTCATGCCCGCCCGGGCACCCGGGCGTGCATCTTGGCGCAATGGGGATGGTTTTTTTTTTTTTTTTTTTGTCTGACAAGACAAAAGACAATAATGTTGAAGAAACAATAATGGTGTGGAGTTTCCTTGTGACTGTGTGCCGTCAAATCGAATGAAGTGCTGACGGAGGAAATAATGATGATGGAAGAATCCGCAGGTATGCCTTCCTTGGTTCGAGTGTGTTGTGTGTTGCGTTTCTAAGGTCATGATGGGGGGTTTGTTGGGTTTTGAGCATATAGAAGACACGTTATGGGTTTTTTGTTTTCTGGGTTTGAGCAAAGAAAGCACGCTTGTGTCCTGGGTTGCCGCGTTCTGGTGCACAGCGCTGTTGAGGTGGAGGGCTAGCTACATATTCGAGGGCGACGGTTTGTGAAGGGTTGCTGCCCATTGGGAGGGACGGGGATTCTCTGATCGCGGCATGCTCACTACGACGGGTAAAGCTGTCGACAAAAAGCGTGCAGGGCACTAATCTGCGCGAGCTGACGAAAGCTTCAGAGATTTGCGGTGCGAACTCTGAAGAGTCTGCACTGTATCTTGCAGTGAGACACTTTGGGTATCGGTGTTCGCTTTGGGTCGTCCCGAGTTTGGTTGCAGCCTGTTCCTCTGTGGTCAGCCAGGGGAGGGTGGAATTAGACTGGTGTAGACTGGAAATTGTGGCGGTTTTGTGTAGGGTTTGCTATGTGGGTGAAATTTCAGCGACTGATGGCTGGTTGGACCTATATGGGTGGTAAACAGGCCTCCGGAATGAGTGGTGTAGAGGTTTGTTAAGAGTCTGTGTTTTTTGTAGTGTGGTGTGGTAGGGTGATAGTGCCCAGTGGCGTGCATTGAGGCGGAAGATGCGGACCAGTCAGCGGTGCCAATGCATTGTGTTCTGTAGCCTGGTGGGCTGTCACACGTAGAGAGAGAGAGAGAGTATGGAATCTGGTGTTTATTTAATGTCATGAAAAATTCTTGAGTGTGCTCTGGAGAAATCTCTGGTGTACAAGGAACTTAGTATTTGGAGGGAAGTTGAAGCTTTCCGTCGTTGTGATGGACTCTTAACTCTCTTTTTGTGTGCTGGATTTGAATTGCCTGCTTCAAGCATTGTAGACATTGGTATATGCTCAGTTATGTATGTTCTCTCTGAACATTGTAGACCTTGTTCTTTTCCCTCAGATGGTGTGTTTTTTTTTTGCATTGTGTGACGAGTGTTTGGCATTGTGTGTAATAGCATGTTTGGATTTGGTTAATTATCACATTCTCGCATTATCACTCACTACATCCCTCCAGTGCATGTGATATCTTTTTTTCTGTGCTTCCCTCAAAATATGAAGGTGTGGGCACGAGTGCCACGAACACAGCAAGTGTGACTCTCTCTGTGCATCTACTGGACCATTGGGGTGTTGTTTCTGTGGTGTAGTGTCGGTCGGATATGTGTGCGCCGCACGCACAACGAAATCCACTGTTGTGTTATTCACATCTATCTTTATGCCATTTCTTCCGTAATTGCAGCGATTGTACTGTTATTGACTCTGTAGTCCTTCCATGATCTTACTTCCTGCGCATGTAGCCATGCATCGTGTCTATGTTCTCTGTTTCCTTTTGTTGAATGCTTTTTATTTGATGTTAGTGCACAGGTCTGTAAGGGGTGTTAATCCTCCTAATCCTCCTAGGGCAATCAGACTCGTTTTCAAACACACTTTTCATGCATGTAAACAGTCACGCAGCATACTGGCAACATGCGCCCACTCAAAACTCAGAGATATGGCTTTCAGATACGAGTTCACTCTCAATTGGCTATGGCGACTTTAGCGCCCAAACATCTCGCTGTTCACATACACTGGATCACCCTGGATATCCCACACGCATCACTCTAACACTCGAACACACACACACACTCACTACTAACTACAGCTATGGCAGCTGTCGCTGCATCTACCCTATCGCTATGCTAACTCCCTCTCTCTAGCCCACTGCGTCCTCCGGGCTCATCTGCAGACCTCCTTGCACAAGTCGCTGTGGCAGCGCTTCCGCATGGCTCACGMAGGAATGAATGAATGGCTGGGCGCTGCCTCTTGATTTATACTTCAGAAACTCGTTGGTCTGCCCTTTGCCATCGGCCCTTGGTTCTTACAGTCCCCCTGTGGTACTTGCTGGACCTTCCGTTGACTGACTGTGGACTCACCGCTATCTTACCGCGGTTGCACTGCTGTTGCAGTGCGGTTTAGTCCACCACTTGCCTCACCACTTGACCACTTGCCCACTTGCCCACTTGCCTACCTTCTAGAAGGTCTACAGCTAAGCTTCCAGAACTCACTAAGACTCCTACGCTATAGACCTACAGATCGAACCCCTGAAGGTCTACAGCTAAGCTTCCAGAACTCACTAAGACTCCTACGCTATAGACCTACAGATCGAACCCCTGCTGTCTATGGACCTACGACAGGTCTACCAACTACGAATACACAGGTCGCATGTTCAATTCTCGGGGTTTACACAGATACTGTACATGGGTAAGGTGAGGTCTAGGGATCGAACCCTGGGTACTGCATCCGCTACTGCTAAAAGGTGAAAACCGTTTCACTCCCGCCGTCCTAAATTCGAGGTCCTCCGAGAAAATTTTAGTCCAAGGCAGGACCTTTACCTTTCTTGTCACGCTCATGCCCTGACTATGTCGGGAGCGGTCTCTAGAAGTTCTGCTTTCGTGAACCAGTGGTCGTCTTGCGGTTCTTGATAAGCAAACCGGACCTTGTACTGTTTCTGGGGACGACCTCTACCTCCTGTCCTAAACACATCCTCTTCTACAATGCCTCTATGTCATAGCTTCCATCCATATCCGGTGGAATCATGGATCTCCTGGAAGGGAACTGTTGACTAGTGATACACGGCAGCAGCTTTGAAGCATGAAACACAGGGTATGTGTGGAGGTGTGCTGGAATCTCAATGCTATAGGACGGTCCATCCTCTCCGCCCTCGACTTCTAGAATCGGCCACAGTCCTCTATATGCAGGCAGTAACTTCTGAGAGATGTTTTCTTCTGGTGCAAACTCTTTTGCCTTGACCCAGACTAAGTCGCCTACTTGAAACTGTGATGGGCGACGGTGTTTGTTAGCCTGCTCTATCATTCTGCGCTGGGCCTTCTGTAGGTTCTCAACAACAGTGGCTAATTCCTTTTCGTGCTGTATCGCAAACTCCCTGGTACCGGGCGGTAATCTGTGAATCTGATCCCGGTTCAGTCCTTCGAACGGTCTGCGTGGTCTAAAGGACTTGTGCAGTTCATTGGGAGTGCGGCAGGTGGATAGGTGCACGCTGTTGTTGTATGCACTAGCGACCTTGGGCAACATCTTATCCCAGTCGATCTGATCTGGTCTAATGTACATGCGCAGAACTTGCTGTAGGATCTTGTTCATTTGTTCTGTCTGACCGTTAGTCTCTGGGTGACGGCCGGACKACATTAACAACTTAGATCCGTAGACTCTCATGAGTTCTTGCCAGTTCTGGCTGGTGAAACGACTATCTCTACCACTAACTATTGACAATGGGATACCATTCTCACTAACCCAAAAGTCAAAGAACTTCTGTATTACTAAATCTGTATGTGCGTCTGCAGGCAAGGGAACAAAAACTGCATACTTACTAAAATGGTCGACTATGACCATGACTTGGCTCTTACCATGTCTACTCTTGACTTGCGTGTCCATGAAGTCTATAGACACTGAGTCTCCCGGCTGATCCGGAATAGGCAAGGGCCTGAGAATACCTAAGGGTGCGCGTGTAGTAGACTTATTTCTCTGGCACACTTTACAACTGCGGACATACTCTATGCAGTCATTCTTCATCCCTGGCCAGGTATACGCACKCATCAGGTTGGCTAATGTCTTTTGCCAACCGAAATGCCCTTCAGTATCGTGGCATTCCCCTAAAACCAAACTGCGGATCTCTTCGCTGTTGGGAACGCACAGGCGGTCAAACACATTAGTCTTCTCACACATTAGTCTTCTCAAACAACAACCCGTTTGTAGTGCGGTAATCTGGTTCAGTCTCTGGGGTCTCTCTAACTCTTTTTAGGAGGTCGCTATAGATAGGGTCATGCGCATATGCTTGCCTCACTTTCTCCTGCAAGTCTCTCCCTATATCCAGATAGTGTACTACAGCTCCAAAGTAGTCTGATCTCCTACTCAGAGCATCCGCAACTACGTTGTACTTGCCCTTCACTGGCTTGAGCTCAAAGTCGAATTGGTCTATCTCTGCGGCCCACCTAGTCAACTTAGGTGTCATCTTGGCCTGAGTCTTTAACCATCTAAGCGTTTCGTGGTCCGAATACACTTTGAAGTGCCTCCCAAGCAGAAAGTGCTTCCAATGGTCTAAAGCCTGCCTGAGAGCGTAGAGTTCCCTCTCGTACGTGGAGGTAGCGACCTTCTCTCAGGGCATCCTCGCGGACATGAACTCTACGGGTCTATAGCTATTGCTGTCGTCTTGTTGCAACACGGCGCCTATCCCATACTGACTCGCGTCCGTGGTGACGACAAATGGCAAAGACGGATCTGCAACTTTGAGGACAGGATATTCTATTAACGCGCGCTTTAGCTTCTTGAGCGCAGACGTACAGTCTTTGTCCCATTGCCAGATTGCCTCTTTCTTCAGCAAGCTGCGCAAGGGAGCTACGATAGTAGAGAAGTTCCTTACTAACTTCCTATAGTAGTTAGCTAAGCCTAGGAACGACCGCAACTCTGTCAATGTGCGGGGCATCGACCAATCTATGACCGTGATCTTGTTGTCCTCTGGCTTAATGCCATCTTCCAACACGTGGCCCAAGTATAAGACTTGCGTCTTGGCCCACATGCACTTCTTATTGATCTTGAAGTTAGCCTCTCTAAGCTTCTCCAAGACCTGCCTCAGATGACCCTGGTGCTCCTGGAGGGTCTTACTAAAGACTAGGATATCATCTAAGTAGACTACAAATTTATCTAACCACGGTCTAGACAGGTCATTCATACAACCCTGAAAAGTAGCTGGCGTGTTGGTTAGTCCAAAGGGCATCACTATAAACTCATAATGCCCATATCTAGTCCGGAAGGCAGTCTTGTATTGATCCTTAGGATGAACCTCTATCTGATGGTATCCGGACTTTAAGTCTATCTTAGAGAAATACTTACAACCCTGCACCCGATCTAAAAGATCGTCTATCCTGGGCAGCGGCTCAGCATTCTTCATGGTGATTACATTTAATCCCCTATAGTCTATACACATTCTCAGCTCTCCTTCCTTCTTGGGGACAAACAAAACGGGTGCTCCAAAAGGAGACGAACTGGGCCTGATCCACCCTTTCTCAAGGAGTTCGTCTAACTGCTTGTGAATCTCATCTAACTCTCTCGGGGACATCCTGTAGACTGCACCCTTAGGTGTTCTAGTGCCAGGCTCTATCTCTATCCTATGCTGGATGGGTCGTGGCGCTACTCGTGTCGGCGATCTCAGACAAATCTTTGAACTCCTCCAGTAGCTTGGCAATTGTTGGGTCTGCTGAGCTATCCTTCTTTTGGCCCTTAGTGACAGGTCTAACATACACCACAAAGACCTGTTTCTCTAACGAATGCGCCAAGGTGTTATCTACACCGGACACATGAAACAGGCGAGTAGTGTTCACTTCGCTTAACGGATTAGGGAGCCTACACTCATGCTCTCTTAGATGGAGTGTGGCCCCCGCTGCCTCTCCCCAATCCATTGCTAACACTACATCGAAAGGAAGGTCATCTTGTACGAGGAGAGTCGGGGAATGGAGAACTTTTTCCATCTTCCCATCCTTCTCTAGGCGAAAGTATGTCTGGACTCCCTCTACATAACCCTCAACGCGCATTGTGCGGATGTCTGCAAGAACACTGACCATAGGGTGTATTAACTTCTTGACCTTTAGTCTTAGCCTCAACTTCTTCAGCACCCTACGATTGATATAACTACGTGTAGCCCCTGAGTTTGTAAGGGTCCCTACCCTACTCCTAAACACCTCTACATCTACCAAAATCAGCTGTCCTTTACTCTCCTTCTTCATTTTGGCCTAGGTTGGCATCTTCTCCTTTAATTCTTTTGTCACACCTAAGAGACGCTTACACAGGCGGTCTCTCAACAACTATCTAGGCACGGGCCTGCAACCTCTGCCATAGGCTCATGTGGGTTGGGAGTGTCTTGTTCGCGCGCGCTCACTTTCACATGGCCTTGAAGTAGGGGCAATTGCGACCCCTACTGGAGGCTGCCTTTTGACTGCTGGGCAGCCCAACGGGCCTGTTTATACTTTGGACAAAATTTGATAACGTGGGCCGGGTCACCACAAAATATGCACTGACCCATGTTCATGCGTTCCTGCCATAATTGCCGGTCCAAGCCCAAGTCTTCCCAGGGCCTGCCCTGTGGCAAGCCGGGGTGCCAACCTCCTTGAGGTGCTCTTCCACCTCTTCGTTGTGGGGACCGATTACCCTGACGATTTGACGGGGGACCTTGACCCTTACCTCCCGCTTGGCGGTTTCCCTGTTCGCCAACCCCCTGTGCGCCCGGTCCTCGGCCTCCCATGGCCTGAGCCCTTTGGCCTTGGCCTCCTCCTCCTTGCGGCCTCCCTCCAGCCGCGACAGCAGCGAAAGACCTCCCTTGGCCCACACTACTGCCATCATTTTCAAGGCCCCACTCAATCTGATCATAHGGGACCTCATCAGTACCACCTTTCTCTAACGTCAGGATCATGTGATCCTTGGCCTTTACATGGCCCGAGATAGTACGATTCTTCCACTTCTTYCCCTTCTCCAGGTCCTTATGCCAGAAAGTGGTAACTGGCATAGACTTTGACTCGTATAGGACGACCTCCCTACTCAATTGATCGAATGTGATGCCGGCCTGCTGAGACTTGTCAGCGTAGGGCCTCTGGGATGGCACGATAAAACAATTGGACCAACTGGGGCACGGTGACCCCGTGGCCCGGGACAGCTACCAAGTCGTCCATAGTACCCTTGAGTGCCTTGGCAGTCCTCCACTGCCGAGAGTGAATCGTTTGGAGCTTATCAGAGGGTCTAATGCCTCGTGTTGGGTCAGCGAACCGCTCCTTAAGGAGCTTGAGGAATTGGGAGAGAGGAGTGACTTTGGAATACGCAACGAGGTTGTTTTCACAACCGGATGTACGCGCAGGAGACCTGGCGAAGCTAGCCGCTTCATCTTTGAGGGCCTGGAAGGCCACAAGGACTTGTTCCTCGGCCAAGATATGCTGCAAGTAAATATAACTATTGACACTGGCTTCCCAGTTGGTTTTCTTCCTTCTTTCCCCCGTACGCATCCGGAAACTTAAGCTTCACTGGGTCCTTACAGGGCCTGGCCTCTCCCTCTGCGGCGGCTACAGCTTTGGCACCCTGAATGGCGCCCTCACAAAACTTCCGACATTGTCTCTCAACTGTTTGACTTCGCCCCCAATATGGGTGATGATCTCGCGCGCAAAGTCTCTAAACCCTGACCGCATGGCACTCAAGGCTACATTGGTGTAACTTGCCTGGCGTTCTTCCATCCAGGCCTTGCTCAACACCTGTAGATAGCCCAGTACCTTGTCCCACTTGGCCTTATCATCTGGCTGGGCCAGCACCTCCGCTCTACACTTCTGCACCCTTGTCAATGTTGCGGTCATCTTATTCACTTCCTCTGTCCTCTTCTTCTCCCTCTTCATCTAACTTCCATGCTAACTTTTGCTCGTCTTCCCTCTCTTCGTTCCATTGGGTCTGTCATGGCTGCTAGCTCAGCGGCCAACGCAGCCTTCTCATCCTTAGTCGCATAGGACTCCGCCTCCTCGTCTTCCCCCAACGATAAATTAGCGATCCACTCGCTGATCTTCTTCTCCAGCTCAGTGTCTGTCTCCCACTTCATCGTGCCACCACTGCTCCCTTCTCCACTCTCAATTCTCATTCTCTCTTTCTCTTCTTCTGCTGCCGCTTCTGCTTCAGCAGCCTTCCTTCTTTCTTCCTCCTGTTGTACCCTCTTCATCTCCTCCTCCAACCTCTTCATCTTCGCCGCTTGCTCGTCTGCAGTAGCCTTTAGCTTGGCTTGCTTTTCACGCTCTTTCCTCTCCTTATTCTCTCTGACTAAGGCGGCCATCTTTTCTTGCTGCTCAGTGGTGTAGGGGCTAGTCTCCTTCCCACTACGGGTCTCAACCATGGTGATAAGTGTACAACCGGGTTAGTGGTTCCAAACCTCACCACATTGACGTCAACCCCTGACTGACAGACCTACTGACTCAATCTAAGACTCACAGAATCCTGACAGGGGTCCTGTCAACTATGGTCTCGAGCCTAGACCTACACTATGGCTGTCACTACTGAACCAGTGGCTGATCAGGAGGCATTTAAAGAGATCCCCCGTAACTCCTCAAGAATTCTTTAATGTCGCAGACAGGACGACGTGATCAGCTTGGTTTTGCTTGTGCTTTCAGCCCACAACTCAGCCTTTCCGGCCTACTGTGCCACACCGAGCAGCCCRCCGGTCTGTACCGGTCCTTGGAGGGTTCGTATCCCTCGGGACAGTCGAGTCGTCAGACACACATCATCAGCCTTACTTGGTCTGGTAGGGGAGTGGTTCCAACAGACCCTCAACACTTAACGACGGCCTCCGTTTCAGCCTGCAGCTCGGAGTCCAGACCCTCTACATTGAAACTGAACAGACCTGCCGGTCAGTACCGGTCATTGGGCTAGACGAGTTGTTTAACGAGCGCTCGCCGCTCATGCCCAGGTCTCCAGATATCGGAGTAGAGATTAGTCCTACTGAGTCCCGTGCAGGTTACGCAGCAAGGCCCTATCCTTCATCCACAGAGTTCTATGACCTAGGACAGAAGAGACTCAATGCAGAAAGAATAGACAGATAGACTGTACTCAACAAGTTCCAAGGGGTATGTGCACATCCATAGGGCAAGGGGCAGGCTAAGGGCTTACATCTATCTATCTATCTATCTATCTATATATATATATATATATATACACGGTTACCGGCGTTCGGGACAGGCCGAACGCCCGAACCCGAACGCCCGAACCTGAACCCGAAGGCCCGAACGTATGGGACCCCTTCGGAAGGCGTTCGGCCGTTCGGCCCGAACGCGGACCCAAAAAAAAAAAAAAAAAAAGAACAGTTTTCAAAAAAGTTTGAAAAAACAAATGTTATGGAGAAAAAAAACAAAACAACATTTGCCCGGGCACTGTATCCAAAGTCTTTACCAAATTTGAATTAAAAATCAAATACAGAAAAAAACATTATGATAAAAATAAAAAAAAATAAAAAGAGAATTAAAATGAGTGAGTGTGCCAGCACCTTTGCTTTGTTTGTTGACATGGCTAAAGAGTTATCTTCGACACCGCCATCTTTGCCCATTTTTAATTATTTTTTGGCATTGACAAATGCCCTGAAAATTTATAGATATGTAGTTTGCGAGCACTACACCCCCATCTTTGACGATTTTTAATGTTTTTTTTGGCTTAGCAGAAAGACTTCGAAATTTATAGTCGTGTAGGTTATATCATAGAGAACTCACCAAAAAAAATTCAGAAACAAAAGCTTGTTTTTAGGCCCTGAATTTTGTTTTGGCGGGGGCCAAACGTGGAGGTGTTCGGCCCCCGAACAGGACCCTGAACGCCTGAACGTTCGGGGGCCAGCCCACCCCCTCTCGACGCCTTCGGTGGGGCGAGAACCCAAAAAAAAAAAAAAAAAAAAAAAAAAAAAAAAAACTGAAAAAGAAAACAATGTTATGCAAAAGAATTAACTGAACAACATTTGCCTCAACATTACATCCACATTCTTTAACAAATTTGAAATAAAAATCAAACACTAAAAGTAATTAAAAATAATAAAAATTAGAACAAATAAACTGAGAGGGAAAATATTGAGTGGGCGAGCACGTTCTTGACACCGCCATTTTCGCCAATTTTTCAACTTTTTTTGGCTGTGATAATTGCCATAAAAAATTATATATGTGTATCTTACATAATAAAGAATCTACAAATATAAAGTTGGAAAAAATAATAATTTTTTTCATACCCCAAAAAAAAAGAAAAGTAAAAAGTCAAAAGAAAAAACCAATTAGTGAGTGGGCAAGCAAGTTTTGACACCACCATATTTGCCAATTTTCCCTTTTTTTTTGGCTGAACAAAATGGCTTCAAAAGTAAGAGGAAGCTAGCATACATCGCAAAGAACTAACAAATTCAGAAACAAATAATAATATATTAGGTCCGAAAATAATTTTTAGCGGGGTCTGAACCCCTTCAGCTTCAGCCCCCGTACGGGGACCCGAACGCCCGAATCCAATGGCTTTCATTTCAAGAAGTAAGTAAAATGCGCGCCGTGTTTGAATTCTGTGGGGGACCACCCTCTAAGCCTAAGTATTTCTCAGTGACCAATAGTGTACAAGTACCGTGAGGGAAAGGTGAAAAGAACCCTAAGGGAAGTGAAATAGAAAACCTGAAACCTGATGCAAGCAATCAGTCAAAGGCTGAAAGATGCATCATCAATCATGGATGATGGATCTGCACGGGGGTCAGCTTAGGGGCCTCCGTACGTTCGGCCTGGCAACCCTTCACACATATATGTCTATACATATATATATATATCGGTGAAACTCCGACGAAACAGTTTGTCACAGCCCCTCGTTTGTTGTCCTCTTCTCCCTTTCTGCCTACGGTTTACCGGGCAGTTCTATTTGACGATATATATATACACATATACACACACACATATACACATACACCCAAGGTCACCAGCCCGTACGTAAGGAGGTCCGTTGGCCGACTGTTATTTTTCTAAGCCAAACAAAAATTAAAAATCGCCAAAGATGGGGGTGTGGAAAACATTCTCGCTCGCTCACTAATTTTAATTCTCTTTTCATTTTTTCTTATTTTTTGTTCTAGTTTTAGTTTCTGGTTATAATTTGTATTTCAAATTTTGTAAGGAATTTGGATGTAATACTGAGGTAAATGTTATTTATTTTATTTGTCATCATAACATATTTTTTTTTCAGATGTTTTTGAAGTGTTGGTTTTTTGTTTGATTGTTTTTGGTTCGCGTTCCACCCGAATGGCTGAACGCATTCCCAGGGGATCCCATATGTTCGGGCGTTCGGGTTAGGACGTTCGTCCAGTCCTGAATGCCGGTTACCCTGCATACACCCAAATATATATGTATATCCGTATATAGAAATGATACAATGAGACGGTGAAATTCAGTGCATTGACCTGCATTCCTAAATTTAAGAGTTCGAAACAAGGAGGAGAGAAGGGGAAGGGGTTGAAGGAGGAAAGAAGAAAAAGGAAAAAGAGAAAAAAAAAAGAAGGAAAGGGAAGTATATAACGTCACAAACAGAACTGCCCGGTAAACCGTAGGCAGAGAGAGAGAAGAGGACAACAAACGAGGGGCTGTGACAAACTGTTTCGTCGGAGTTTCACCGACTCGTCAAGAGGGTGAACCCTCAACAGTCTGCAGAATCCCCTCACTGATTACACTGTAAATGAAAACCTTAACCAAAATCAAAGTAGACTATCACTCACCCACACCAGATGGAAAACTCTAAGCAAAACATCCACGAAACAAAGAAAGGTCTGTCACAGCCAAAAAATACACTCCAGACACGCCGCTGGCATATATATATATATGAGGTATACAACTCGACCAAAGGCAGATGAACTCGTCATCAAATGAGGATTACGCAAATCGTAATCGTAGACCTTATCAAAGTAACACGAAGATCACAACTTCTCAGAGGGGTTAGTGTTTCCAAGAAGTAATCCTCAATAGCAAATGTATTCATATTGTTTTTGTGCGCAGCAGCTTTCGAGTCTAGCTCGAAATCACTCGTACACCAGGTGAGTGAGGATTGCTTAGATCGTGAACATGACTCACATCCGAGCATCCACAACACGTGCTCATCCTGCTCTATATGCATACATGCTATTAAGACTCCAAGACTGGCAGGCAAAAGGTTCATCGAGGTTATCCATTCCACTAGGATCACCCTATCGTTGCTCGTGTCATGCTACCAGAAGTTCCCGGATAGGTCCCTTCGTCCGCTTGCAATGGTCACTCGTATGTTGAAAACTCCCAGCTATCAACTCCTATGAAAATGCAAAGCTGGCGGTGTCGAAAACGTTTTTCTATGGGCTATGATTATGTACGGGCGTTCGGGGTCCCGTTCGGGGCCTCGTTCGAGGTCCAAACCCGAAGGCGTTCGGCCCACACCCATCCTCATACCTGCAGGCAATCATGAAGCGAGAGTTGTGCGGCTAGCGGCGTACTAGGCTAGGCAAAACGTCTGGGAATGCAAAAACTCGTGGCAGCTCGGCTGCAGCCATGGAAGCATAAATGCCGCAGGAGGGGCGTGGCATCCCGTAAAAGCTTTTTGGCCGTCGTCACTTTTCCGGCTCATCAGAGGGGTTAAGTCCTGTAAAGACTGCACAACCATTCACAGAGCAGCACAGACAACCATAGCTACACACATACAGCGAGGTGGGAGAAATAGGGACCATATACCGCCTCTTCCGCCGCAATCTCCTTGTAGCGGACCCACCAGGTGTGGTGCTCCGCTAGTGACGGAGATGGAGATGGAGGAAGAAGGGGGAGCAAGATGGCACAACGCAGCTCCCCACGCAAGACTCCAACGCACGTACTCCAAAATGTGC